CGGACGGATGCGGAAAAACATGGCGGACCGGCAAGAACTAGTATGGCAGAGGTTCGTAAATACAGACATTTGTATGATTCAGCTCTCAGAGATCACCGTGATCAACATGTTGTTAATAATTCTTGGAGAGAAATAGCTCGCACTGTCGGAAAAGACGAGAACGCTGTTAAAAATGCTGGAATGCCGTGTTCTAAACAGTAATTTCTACTTCTACTATGGTGTAGTGTCGGATGCATGCCGTAGAGCTCCATGCTGCCCCCTACAGTTTGGGAGAATATTGGCTCACCGCAGAGACGAGCCGCATGAACCATAAACGCTGCGAGTTGTGAAGCGCGTTCCATCCGCGAGCCGCATCACCAAGCGAAAAGTAAACGCGTCAAGCATAAACCAAGCTTTAGGGTTAGCTAGGATGCACCATGCCTCGTGTCCAATGGCCAACGGAGATAAGCCATTGGAGCTGTTTTGTACCAAATTTCTAATTTGTTTTCATGCAAAACCGATTCCCACTGCTTGGACATACAGGTGTAGACCATGCAAGAAATACCCGACTCTTCAGCAAAAACAACAGTGGGACATGTTAATGGTGTCTGATGTAGAAGACAGTGTCAGTTTCTGAACCTGTTCTGACAGCTTTGGTGAATTTGTTTTACTTGTTGCTTTAAATCGTGTTAAATTGCATAACTGGAGCCCTGACAGCCATGAGTTATGGATGAGTTTTATTGCCACTATCTAATTAACGGTGTTGTGTTCTCAGGCTCTCGGTTTCATCACTTGCAGGTAAGTTCTGATGGGAACGACAAACTCCAGACTGGCAAGTGAAGTTTTTATTTAAATCTGCCGATTTAATAAATAAAGAATGAACTGATGCTGCTGCTCAGCCTAAGCTAGTCATCGTCAGGCCTTCATCTGGCTCTTGCATGGAGGTAGGGAAAGCCTCTGGAGAAGCAGAGGCTGCTGAAACCACAGCATCAGCCTTCTCTTGCACAACTTAAGTAGTGGCATGCCTCAGCTGTCACCTCTGTTAGTGAGATTAGGCTCAGTGCGAAAACTCGGTGCTAAGTTTGACAACAGGAAAGGAGAGGGAGGGTCCTAACCCAGGTGAAAAGGCATAGAAGTACAAGGGAAACAGTATGTCTGCTTTGCTGATGTCTATGGTAACAGTATATCCTCCAATTTAACATTCCCTCCATCAAACATCGGTTTCTGTTTTTCCCCTTTCCTCTCTCTCTGTTCTTTTGACTTCTCTTTGACCTCCTTAAAAGAACAAGTTATGTTTCCCAGGGCCCAGCTATTTGAAGCTCATAGTTTTGGTTTTCCAAGGTTTTCTGTTCCAACTCAAGCCGTTCAGACATCGTCCCCACTTATATGTCCACAATGGCAGGGTCCTGGAGTCCAGACCAGAGCCGCCCTACTCTCTGCCTACAGTTGAGTTGCCTCTGGCAGGACCGCTGCGTGCTCTGAGCGCTGGTTCTGGCCGTTGTTCAGGGAAACCCCAGAGTTTTACCATGGTGAATGTGCCAGCTCCGTGCCAGGACCATTATGCATCCATTCAGAGACCGTGAATAGCAGCCCATTACTGGACAGAAACGCTGAGAGACGTGCAGTCCGCTCAAGGATGTGATGCTAGGCCATGACACAGACACTGACATTGGTAAAATAAACAAATCCCTGACACTGTTTCTCTGTATTGTGTCTAAAAGTCTTTTCTAATGTTCAATAATGAAAACCCAGATAAAATGTGTCCTGCTTTGTACAACTGCAAACATACACAAACAACAGATAGCATGGATTATTTTTGATATGGAATGAACAATTCAACTGACATAAATATAGGTTATTTGGACTCTTCTCGTGTTTTCACTCTGATCCAATAATATCTACAACAACAAATGTTTGACAGTGCCCCAGGTTACTGTTTGGTTTCCTTCCCCGGCCTGGCTGACCTGAAAACGTAAAGAGTAAAGTTCTAGCATTACTTCAAGGAATTGATACCGCCCACAGCCTTCCACCTCAGAGTTTGTCCGTTATGATGAAATCCAGAGTCAGTGAGTCAGGTATAACACTCAGGTACAATTGTGTCTAATTCAAAGTCAATATCTTTAAAACTGACCAGGGGCGGATTTAGGACTGAAGAAGATCCGGGGCTTAACACACACACGCGTACTTTTGTACTTTTTGTCTAAAAAACGTCCTTTTGTCCATCTTCACTCATGCGTTTCAGGCAGAGAGTGTAGAAGAAGCCGGCTGCTGAAGGGCTTCTTCTTCAGTGGTGGAGGATCAGGCAGGCTGTATACAAACTACTGCCAGCTGCTCCCTCTCTGTTGGACTTTGGTACTGCATGTTACTTCCGCGATTTAGATCCGGGGCTTCAGCCCAAGTAGCCGGGCCTAACGCCGCCCCTGAAACCGACAGAGATTTTGCCATTTTTGTTTCGCGTGAGGCTAGCGTGCTACGGCAGCCGTCTTGAACTGGATTGACTTTAACATCCAAGTTTTTGGTAGAGATGTTGCACTGTGTGCAGGGTTCATGGAGTGTGTGATGGTGATGACTCTCATCTGTAACTACCACTATATGACTGAATCATAAGTTAGTAAGGCCATATTGGCAGTGGAGGCCATCTTGAATTAGGTTGCCTCCAAAAGTTCCAATCATGACTTTCAAAGAAATATTCAGACAGTAAATAGCCTGTATTTGATATAGCACCTTCTAGAGTCATGGAACCCCCCAAGGCGCTTTACAACACAATCAGTCATTCACCCATTCACACACACATTCACACACTGGTGGGGATGAGCTACGATGTAGCCACAGCTGCCCTGGGGCGCACTGACAGAGGCGAGGCTGCCGAGCACTGGCGCCACCGGTCCCTCCGACCACCACCAGCAGGCAACGTGGGTTAAGGGTCTTGCCCAAGGACACAACGACAGCGACAGACTGAGTGGGGCTCGAACCTGCGACCTTCCGATTACGGGGCGAGCTCTTAACTCCTGTGCCACCGTCGCCACAGTAAAGCCGGTTAGCTCATCATGTGAACGTGTGTGAATGAGTGTAGTTTAAAGCGCTTTAGAGTCCTTTGACTTAGAAAAGTGCTAAATGTCCAATATTATTGTTGTTGTTATAATAAACCTTTGCCTTCCTCTTCTTTTGGAGCTTTCGTGTAGCCTCTCAGAATTCAGCTGCTATCTGATGTTGCTGCTGACAAACATCTGGCTGTTCTTCAGAAACCAGCGTATCCCAGCACACCACAATCTGGTGGCATACTGCGGTGGGGGGGTATCAGGATGAGTCACATCAGCTGTGGCAGCTGGCGTGCTTGCAGTATCAGCCGATCCTGTTAATCTTACGATTAGCTTTCAGTGATCCCATCAGGCCTGCCTAGATCGGGGGTGCAGAGCCTTGAGGTTTATCCAGCAGGTCAGTCCTGTCTTACGCTGAACACTCGGAGACAGACGCAACACCAAGAAGGCGCTTGGTAAAACTGCTGAACTGGACCAGAGTGCAAAGTCCAGAGACTGACGCTAACTGTCGAGCCCTGTGGTTCTGTTTTCAGGCGGGGGTGGCGGTGTAGTGTTGCACGGGTCAGGCCCAGCAAATTTCTGTGCTCTGCTGACAGTGGCGGGGGCGGAGTGGGTGGCATGGCAGCCAAGTGACATGCCGAGACATGCTTCCAGGCTGAAGCATGAAGATGTGGAAGAGCAACACCTGGACATCATACGTCTCATAAATCCATGCATGCCACGCACGTGAACACGAATGCCCAGTGTGGGCACACACTCACATGCCTGCCAAATGGTAGGTCTCCAGCCGAGAAACAAACCCTTCAACCCCGTGATGTTAGGAGATAAACTGCTGTTAACTAACCTCATCTTCTTGTTTCACTTTTAAACTAACGGTCCGTCCAAATCGGCCACAGGTGGGAGAGGCATCCCTGAGCTTGCCTGTCATTCGAGTTTAAAACAGTTTCTGGACTCTGACTGGACACTGAAGGGGGAGAAAGATGAAAGGAATGCTGTAGGCAGCCACCTCTCACAGCTTTCAGGGTCGGGGTCAAAAGGGATAAGGTCATAAACGCCATGGCCACCAGCAGAGATGGACCTCTGACCAAGAGGGCCTTGTTTTGCTCTCTATGCAGCCACAGATGTCAGCTGGGGGAAGAGGCCTCGGCTGTTTAAATTTACAGCATAATGTCATTCTGTGTCGTGAGCAAAACCCACAATGCATGTATTCATTTACCAGAAACGGGACAGTAAATGGTCTTTTTTTTTTTGCAGATGAAGCAAGACAGTCCAACACGTCTCGTCACCAAATAATCAGTTCTCTCAGTCCATCTCTGAGGTTTAACACACCTGCTATCATTTCAAGAGGATGACCTCATATCCAGCGCACAGAGCAGTAATTATGAGCATCAACAGTCAAGAGAGGCCACGCATTTTCTTTCTTTTGCTGCTGAACGTGTTCGACAAGCCTAACAAGAGTATAATACTCAGACATGGCTAGTCCTTTGCCTCTTAAACAAAGGGCATAATATACAGATCAAACCTGTAGCTCCATGCAGTTTTAATTACAATCTAATTACTCAGCAGTAAAACGGTTTCGTCCCAGTTATCTAAAAAAAAGGCATTTTCTCATGGGTCCATTATTTCCATGTCATGATTCCTGCTGGTTTTCCCTTTTCCATTCATGTCCTGTAAGGATTTTTTCAGCTGTTACGGCTAAACTGAGGGCCAACTGAATGAAAAGGTCTGGAATGTACCATTATGAAATAGGGATCATTCCAACACAAAACTATAAATACCCGTAACTATAACTTTTCATATATGAAATGTGATCATTTAAATGTGTATATATGCTATTCTTGATCATGTTTGTTCCATATAAAGTGCAGTTATTTTGTTTTAAGAGGACAGAAATCTGACGCTGAAACCGAGTCTCCCACTTCGCCCTCCGAGCTGGTTGGTCGGCGCCATGACGACGTCGCGAGCCTCCTTTTAAAGTCGCTCCACTTCCGAGGTGAAGTGAAGTGAAGAGGAGGAGGCGACGCTGAGATTAGGTGGTGGGGTGAAGACAAAACCTTTAGTCGGACAGGTTAATGGTGAGACATCACACCTGGACTCGGGAATGTTTACACACTCGGAATCAAAACGGTTTTTGTTCCTCCAAAACCTCTGCTGGACGTCTCCGACTGCACCGCGGGAAGAAGCAGCCTAAATTAGCTAGCTCCGAAAAACAGCTAACATTTTAAAACAAAGACAGCTGCTGCAAAAAGGACTACTACTGTAAAACAGGAATGGTTTATCCTCCCGAAGGTTTATTCTACATCGAAATGGACCAAGCACCTCCAGGTAAGTTAGGGTTAAACTAAAGGCAGCCATTGTCTGTCTGCGGAGGTTGGAAAACGGCTTTCTTTTCACCCCGGACTTTCTCCGTTAATGCTAACGCCATATAGCGAGATGTCTGTTCTAAATTTACGATAAAAGCCGTTCACGCAGGCGGCTGAAGACCGTTTTTACGACCGGCTCCCGGGTGCTGTGCTCCCCCAGCGGCGTTGCCCAGGCTTGCAGGGCGCTATTCGCTTGCCGATTACGTAATACCTCTCGGAGGATCGGGCGCAGTGGCTCGCCTCCTTTTTCTTTTGTCCCAGCTGCAGCGCAGGCTGGCATGTTGGCCGTGACAAAGTTGAACGGGAGGGCTGCGGCCTTTTGGCATGTCCGCACAGGAGATGAGGTGAAGGGAGACGGGGACAGAGAGGCTGGTTGAGGGGTTAATGAGCGCCGTGTGAACCGAGCGCTTTGTTCTCCTCTGCAGCCGGGGCCGTGCTTAATGTGTCCGCCAGCCAGCTCCTAAAGCGGGCTACAGGCGAGGAGACGGCTCGGTTGTCTCTCTCTATCTGCGTTATTGCGCTGTCACAACAACCTGCTTCAGCGCCTAATCATTACCGAGAAAACTAATCTGCTGGTGGTTGAACAGAAACGCACACATTCAGCCATGTGTCATACTCATGAGCCCTTATTGTTCCTCTCAGTTGGACCCTGGAGGAGAGCTGATCCACAGACGGTCTCCGAGTGTGGGGTTCTTTATATTTCACTTTTCCTTTCTGCGCCAGCCTTCGGAGCTGCTGAGGTGTTTTGGTAGAAGACTGAAATAGCTGAGGATGCAGAGGGTTTAATTTTTGCTGCTGCACCTGCCTTTTGTTTGTTTTAGGGTCAGTAAAACGAGGAAAGCGGATGGTTGGAGACGGTCGCATTTTCATGGCTCTGAGGGTGCTCTTGTATTCTCCCCTAACTGCCCCATGAAAGGCACTTTTGTCCTGCCGTGAAATATATCGCCCTTCACCTCCTCTTGATGCGGTTTGCCCTCTTTTTTTCTTCTAGGATAGTCCAGAGCCAATTTTTTTCGTCTTTCCCGTCCCACTTTAAGGCTGATGGAAAACCTTAATATACAAGCTTGATGTGAATAAAAAGGAGGTTCAAGAAATTCAAAGTATAATTTAGAGCCAAATGAAATACCTGACATGCAACCGAGAACAGCAGAAGGGAAGCGGTGCAGAAGTGGCTTTTGCAAAAGCTGCAGAAAATTGAAACCCCCCCAAAATGGATTTTATTCTGAGTTTCAGTGATTAAAAACATCCCATATGGTCAGTGATGTGCCTTAGGAGTAAAAACGCAGAACCTCCTAATGATCTGGAAACAAGTCTGGGCTTGTCCGCAGATCCTTACAAGTTCAGTCATGCTATGACACGTGTGTGTGTGTGTGTGTGTGTGTGTGTGTGTGTGTGTGTGTGTGTGTGTGTGTGTGTGTGTGTGTGTGTGTGTGTGTGTGTGTGTGTGTGTGTGTGTTAAAGGGGCATTATGGAAGTGTGACAGCCAAAACATGTATAGAACTAATAAATGTCTTCTTCATACATTCTCCTGCAATGCCCTGGTCCTGTAGAATGAGCCCTGGCATTTTTACTGTGATTGCCTGTTTTTCTGTAAAATCACAGAAAAAGAGAGATGCTCGGGTCGAGCAGGCTGCTTCATGCGCGTTCACGCTCAGGCATCGCCCGTAGCATTTGCTATCAGTAGCTTTAGCAGCAGAGAGAGAGGCAGTGCCACTTTGTCGCTGTTCCTAACGCCTAGTGACAAAGCTAGCTACATTTCTGAGGACCCTTAGCTACTTTCTGTAGAACTTTCTTCTAGATATTTCCTGCAAATTAGCAACAAAATAGCCATTTTCACTCCGAACCGTTCTTTGAACGTTGTTTCAGCTGTAATCAAGGACATAAATGTTACAGATACAAAAAACGTCACAGGTGCTTTAGCTCACCTAGTAAGACATCGGACTCTCATGCAGAAGACCTGGGTTTGATTCTGGGTGTGAACATAGTTTATTTAGAGTTTCTTTTTTACATTAATGGTATATTTTTTTACAGTAAGATGCCCAAATTTTTATTTGAGACTCGCCGAACGGCATTGAATTCACAGATAAAAAAGATGTGGGTTCAACTTTCATTTTGGAACAATTTTTCAAGCAAGGGAAGGGAATGATCTGAGCATGCAGGAGGACTGACCCATCATAAACCTTTGTCGGCTGTGCTGAAGAGAAAGCTACAGAACCAAATTATTTAATTAATTAGCTGCACGTTCTCCTGTCCTCTGTCCTCCGGGCCACACACACACACACACACAGGACTGTCTCAGCTGTTATTTTCGTTAAGGAGTGTGCACGTACAGCATGCGCGCCTCGTGCACAAGCATACTATTGAAGCTGCCGTTACGCTTTTGGCCCGAGGGGGCAATCGCGAGCAAAAAACTTCAAAACTCCGTAAAGTCCCTTTAATGACCGTGGGAGGGTCATTATATTCAAATTAGTTTCTTTATTTTTCTGAAGAAAAAAACATGAATTAAATTTCTCTACTTTGTGTTTATAGCTCTCCCTCCCAGGTCAGAAAAGCCAGCCGTGGCCGTCATGAGCAACAACGGCCTTTCTCTGCCTGCGTGTTCGCTACAGGACGCCGAATGGTACTGGGGCGACATAACAAGGTAAATTTAGAGTAATTTAGCAACTGTTGTGTAGATTTGTTGGAGGTTGCGTATTGTTAAAGCTGTTAAATGTTGCCCCCACCCCCACAGGGACGAGGTGAACGAGAAGCTTCGAGACACTCCTGACGGCTCATTTCTGGTGCGTGACGCTTCCACAAAGCTGCAGGGAGACTTCACGCTGACCTTAAGGTACGTTTTATTAAAAACGTGAAGGATAATGCTCGCCATCTCGGCTTGTCTCGTAATTTAACCAAACCTTTTTGTTGTTTTAGGAAAGACGGACACAACAAACTAATCAAGATTTACCACTGCGATGGGAAGTATGGCTTTTCAGACCCCCTGACCTTCACCTCAGTGGTGGAGCTCATCTGGTACTATCAGCGACATTCGCTTGTGGAGTATAACGCCATGCTGGATGTGATGCTCACACACCCCGTGTCCCGCTTCCAGCAGGTGAGTGAGCCGTGTTGCCACCGCTTCAGCCTGGCTCTGATTTGTGAGGAGGAGAAACGGCAGGTTTCTGAGTGGGTGACTGGTTTGTTTCAGGTGAAGATGGACAGCGTTGACGTCACTGGAAGAAAGCTGAAGGAGGTCCACGCTCAGTACCAGGAGAAAACCAAGGAGTTTGACCGTCTTTACGAAACCTTCACAAAGACCTCACAGGTTACAAATGCACGTTTATTTACCACCTTGCTTTTGTTTTTTTAACACGCCAAACTTGGACTCGGGCATGGTTCTAACATGACCTTTCCTCCTCCGCGGTCTAGGAGATCCAGATGAAGCGCACGGCGATCGAAGCTTTTAATGAGACCATGCTGATCTTTGAGGAGCAGTGTCGTGAGCAGGAGCGCTATGGAGAGGAGTTTGAGAGGAACGGCCTTTCAGAGGAGGCTGACAGTGATCTGGAGAGGTACTTAAGTGACACCTTCTCGTAATTTCATCTGGTTTACCTTCTTCTCACTCAGATCTGTTACTTTTACTTTTCCCTGATAGCTTTTTGATAAATTACGAGAAGCTGAAGTGCCGTCTTGGGGAGATCTATGACAGTAAAATCCACCTGGAAGATGACTTGAGGACACAAGTGGAGGACTACAGGGAGACCGACAGGAGGATGAACAGCCTGCGGCCAGACCTCATCCAGCTACGAAACATTAGAGACCAGTACCTCAAGTAAAACCAATTCTCCAGAAACTTAAAGCCTGAGTTGTGTAATTATTGTGGAACAGATTTGATTAGATTCTGACCTGCGTCTCCCTGCAGCTGGCTGAATCGCAAAGGCGTACGGCAGAAACGCATCAACGACTGGCTCGGGGTTCAGAGCGACAGTCTGGACGAGTGAGTTCTGATCAAATCTCATTGGGTCTGAGTGGGAAAGTGTCAAACCAGAGCTTTTACCACCGCTTTGTTCTTCCAGCACGTACGTGTTGAAGGGAGATGAGAAGAATCTGCCACACCAGGATGAGACCAGCTGGTTTGTCGGGGAGCTGAGTCGGACGCAGGCCGAGGAGACGCTCCAGGGTAAAGCTCCCGGAACGTTCCTGATCCGCGAGAGCAGCAAGCAGGGGTGCTACGCCTGCTCCGTCGTGTGAGTGTGCTGCAGCAGCAGTTCCCTCTGCTGTGGTGCGACTGGCCGACGCGTACTGACGTTTACCTTCTCTTACAGCGTGAACGAGGAGGTGAAGCACTGCATGATCTACAGCACGCCACATGGATACGGTTTCGCCGAGCCCTACGACGCTCATTGCTCGCTGAAAGACCTCGTCCTGCACTATCGCCTGCACTCTTTAGCTCAACACAACGACGCCCTTGATGTTCGGCTGTCGCAGCCCGTCCACGCCAAAGCCACGGCCGCTTCCCCTCAACAGGCCGAAGAACACAAACTGTTACAGACTCCCAAACACACGCCGGGTCTCCCACCCGCCGCTCCGGAGATGTGAGACTGTTTCCTGAGGGGAGAGCTGCGTTAAAGGTGCATGGTGTAAAGATTTGCACTACAGTGATTCCATCGGATTTGGGGAATGGGATCTCGCCCGTTGAAGTGGGACCGGAACTTGAATGTCAGCCTGACTGCTTCAGACTTTTTTTTTTTACTCTGCGTTTGTTGCTGTTTGTTCAACGGAGTTTTTCTCCGGTAGACCTGAGTTTTGTTCTCTGGCATCAGGTGCTGCACCTTCCTGGAGTTATCCATTTACTCGAGTGAAAAGTGATTCAGTTTTCCAACTTGACTGATGTGCTCTCTATATTGGAACGCTACTACAAAGTGCATTTGCGAGGGGAGGACAGCCCGCGGTGCTTTTGCCGGGTTCGTGTGCGGTTGGTGGGTCGAAACATTTTGGGGCGCGGCGCCACGTGTGAATATGTTGACGTTGTGGTGCTTCTCAGCCGTTTGCCCCTCTATAAGAGACGTTCATACACAGTGGATAATTATGTAGCATCGACATACTGTAGAAAACCATAGTGGACGCATACTCAATGTTATACCCGTTGACCAAAGCACTTGATAGTGAGCAAAACGACGTCCCTGTTTAGTGTGGTAACTGCATTTTGGCAAGGGTAGGGTGATTCGTGTACACCTGCTGATGTGCTGATCAAAACATAATCTGAAGTACTGTATGTTATATTCTGTTACTCAAAGAAGTATAAGCTTTTTGTATTCTATATATATATTTTCTATGATCATGTCACAAGATGAAAGCTTGAAGAAAGTGCAATCCAACAGTATTTCTATTGTTGCAATGATGATGGTGGTGGAGGTGATGCTGTTAATGAGAGGTTGACGTTTGCCACAAAAATGCACTCTCCCTGGTGATTGTCGGGATGAGGTGGCCTCCGGTGTTTGTGCGAGCGACCGGAGGTCCGGAAGTATCCTGCCTTCATTACTTGAACTGTGGCATTGCTCTAGCTATGAATGTTTTCTCATGACACGCAGCCTACATAGCTTAAGGGGGAAGGAATCCACGTTGAACTTGGCACATTTTTCAAGTTAAAGGACAATAGACACTTAGTATAGAAATACCACGAAATGTATTTCTAGCGTCGGTTCGTGGAATGAGGTCTATGAATCCTCTTGGGAAATATGACTCCGCCGGAGGACTGGTGAAGCTCCTGGGATGAAGCTAAGCAATGTGAGATCCTGCCCTTTATCTTGCTGAAAGACAATAAACTGAAAAGAGTTTTGTCAACTAATTCCAGTCGTTTGTTTTTCTTGTCTACACGCGACTTTTACTGGTAAAACGGCTCATTAGTTAAACGTTTCTGCAGCTTCGGAGATGACCAAAGCAGCGTAGAAGGAGTCTTAGACAGCTTACGGGTTTGTGGACCCATTGTACTTTGATGAGCTTATCCTTGTGTCGGATAGATGGAGAGCTACGAGGGCAGCAGAGGACACGCTGCGGACAGATGGAGGAGAAAGGAAGTGGACAAAGACAATAGCAGGATACGTGCCGGCGCTTTCCTCTCGTTCTGGCCGCCGTTGAGTCACCAGAAAAATATGTATTGAATGGACTTCTCTAGAAACTTGAGTGTTTAAAAAAAAACAAACTGACGCTTGTGTGAAGGGAATGCAGCCGACGTTTGGTGCTCCACTGTTAGTCCGGCGAAGTTTGGAAATGACGAGCTATGCCTCAGCATCACAGAAACACATTTAGACTCCAGGGTGCTACCGACTCGGACGGTGACCCTAGATGGCGGTACTACCAGTCCAGTACGCTGTGACCCGAGCAACAGGTGGCCTCTTTCAAGCATCACACAGGATCTGAGTTAGGTAAGGATTAATGAGGCACAGTTCCAGGCCACGGATTACTCCCCGTTACCCGTGTCAGCTTGGAGGGCTCTGCCGGGATTGACCATACGCACAAAAGATGGATGGACAGGACGATATGTACTGAAGCTGAGTCATCCTGTGTGTGTGTGTGTGTGTGTGTCCAAAAGACAGAACGAGAGTGGGAAAAGGGAACTCCTTTCCCACACGGCTCTGCTGCCAGATTCACTTAACGTTCATGACTTTTGGCTTTTTTTCCAGTGTTGCTCAAAAGTCGTTGAAGGATTATTATGGCCTGCTTTAGCAAAATACCTCATAAAGCACTGGATGTATTTTGATGAGACGTTCAGCGTGTAATGGTTCGACGTAACTTGATTTAAGATAGCTGTCACAACCAGCAGACCTTAGCCAACAAATAAAATGTATGTAACTCCTTCAGTCTTACAGATTGGGCTGGAACTGGAACTGTCATGTAGTAATCAGTGAATGTACGCCTACATATAATTAACCTTAAGAGAAAAAATGTCTTCCATGGGAGAGTTCCATGGACAAACCTCTGACCCAGAAGAATCGTCTCATATCCCTCCCACCCACCTCAGAAGGAGTGCGTCCCGTTCCATCTGGCGTCAAACTAACCCTAAACCTGCAGTCGGGTCAGTAGCTGCTCTGCTGCTTCAGGACCTGGACCACCTTAATGGGCCATTCCCATCTGTACCTGGTCGGCCCGGCCCGGATAGCATAGCATGCTTACATATCTTGGTGGCCTGCCTTTTTTCAGGGTGCAATAAGACTGTTTTTCAGCCCTCTTTCTGAGGTGGTCTGCTTTAAGCTTGACGCATTCACTTTCCGCTTGGTGATGCGGCTCGCGGATGGAACGCGCTTCACAACTCGCAGCGTTTATGGTTCGTGCGGTGAGCCAATATTCTCCCAAACTGTAGGGGGCAGCATGGAGCTCTATGGCATGCATCCAACACTACACCATAGTAGAAGTAAAAGTTACTGTTTACAACATGGCATTCCAGCATTTTTAACAGCGTCCTCGTCTTTTCCGACAGTGCGAGCTATTTCTCTCCAAGAATTATTAACAACATGTTGATCACGGTGATCTCTGAGAGCTGAATCATACAAATGTCTGTATTTACGAACCTCTGCCATACTTCTTGCCGGTCCGCCATGTTTTTCCACGTCCGACCGTCCGCGTGGTTAGAAATTTTCCTAGGTGCGCGTTGCGGAAAGTTTGGGCCGTGCGGAGGCGCGGTGGAGGGGCGTGGTTGTTAAAATGATGCAATTTCACCGCGCGGAGCCGTGCGGACCTCGTGGACGCGTCAAGCATAAACCAACCTCCAGGCTGACCAGGACCAACACACCCACTGCTGACAGCAAATTCACACATTCCATTAGAGCAAGCATCTGATTGGTGGGTAGAATCAGCCCACATGGGCTTAAAGAGCAAGTCACCCCCAAATCAACTTTTTTTTGCTGATAAACTAAATAAGCGAGTGTCTAATTGTGCTGTAGACACGTGTAGTCAATAATTTGGCACTTCAGTGCATCTTAGTTCAAATTTAAATATTCTGCCTAAAACTGTCAGTGTTGTGCCGTCGTCAGGTAAAAACTCTGCACTGCATCACAATTTAAATCTGCCATCGCTAGTGGCTAAGAGGTACCCTAGAACGTTAGCTGGTACCATATGATGTCACAATGTCGTTGTGAGCCTGTGTGTGTGTATTTGTTAATGGCTCCGCCCTCTCGGTCTGTTAGGCAACAGCATTTGTTGCATTTTTCAAACAGGAAGTGGGAGTTGAGTAAGAATCTGGTAGGGGGTGACTTGCTCTTTAAGGCATGCTCAATTCATCATCATTCATTATCATGTTGATTACCTAGAAGCTGAAAATGTCTCTGACTGCATTCCTTGCATAACTAAGCAAGGATGTGTGGAATCAACTGGGCCAGGCTGGGGCAGACTGGAGCTATCCGGGCTGGGCCGACCAGGTACAGATGGTAATGGCCCATAATGGAACCAGGAATTCTGCTCTCTAGCAGAACATCCTGAAGGAGAACATCTGACCTTTGACCTTGAACAGGATGGTCCCGCGTTCCCAACCCCAATCCACGTCAAAGCAACGCCCACATGAAGGGCATGTCCCAAAGGTTCCCAGGCAGAACTGTGCTGGTGCTGAGTGACCTTCGTTCACCCAGCCATCAACGAGATGTAAAGCTGACTGTAACTCAAGGAACCAGAGTCCAACTGGATGATTGGTTTAAAGGATGTGGTTTCTGGTTCTGCTCAGCTGTATTGGATTAAACACAAAGCTGATTCTGGAGTTTAGCCTAGCCTCGCGCTGGTGGAAATAAGGCAGTAAAAGCAATTCAACACAACAAGCCGCAGCTGAAAATAAACACGATGGTGTGTTAAACTGAATCACCTTTAGATCAGTGATCCCGTCACTTGTATTATTCTTGTTTAGTTCTTTCTTCCTCCTAACCATTTGCAGGTGGAAAACTTCCAACCATCCATCCTTTCATCCATTTTTGGCTGCTTATCCGGGGTCGGGTGACGGGTCCTAGGGCCATAATCTCCTCTCCCCTATCGTAGCTGCTACTTACCAAATGGTCATGGTGGTTCTTTCCTCCTGAAGGAAGGATTTGAAGTTCGCTGAACTTACAGCCATTTTTCCTTTGATTTTCTGCGGATCTGGTTTGATTACGTCACTTTTGTCATGCGCATTATAGTCCTGGATGTATTTTCATCAGGGAATCTTGGTGAAGTTGAAAGACGCGTGGAATCCACTCAGTATATCGGCAGATTCTGGAGACTAATGTCCAGGAATCAAAGCTGAAGCTGCACCGGGGCTGGATCTTTCTAAAAGACAACAAACCTAAACACTGCTCAACATCTACTAACGCATTCACGCGGAGGAACAAGGAGAACGTTCTGGAATGGCCGTCTCAGTCCCCAGACCCGAAAATGATTCAGTTAGAGACCTGTCCATCAAATGTGAATGAACTAGAGATGTTTTATAAAGAAGAACGATCGAAAATGCATTCAGCTAGAATCCAGACTCTCACTGGAAGCTGCAGGATGCATTTAGAGGCTGTTGTTTCTGCAGAAGGAGGATCTACTAAATATTGAGTTCATATTTCTTTTGTGACGCCCAAATTTGTGCACCTACCTAATTTTGTTTAAAGAATTATTGCACACTTTCTGTAACTCCTATAAACTTTGTTTCACTTCTCAAATATCACTGTGTGTGTGTCTCATGTGTGATATATTTATCGTAACAACCAACGATTTATACAGGATAATCATGAAGATTAACAAGGCTGCCCAAACGTTTGCATCCCACTGTAAATTGGCAGTGTTGCAGTAATAAGCAAAGCTGTGTGAATGTTTTTTGTAGCACTACTGTTTCAGGGGGTAGATGTTTGCCAGAGGAAAGGTAGGGGAAAAACAGCAGTCCTATTCATCAATATTTATGAGATATAAATTCCCTGCCTACTATTGGCTAAATGCAACATGACTATTCCACTGCCTGTGTTCGTTTTTGTTTCTTGGGTAAAAATGCAACGCTGATGTTGAATCTACCTAAAACACAAGCCCGAAGGTGCTTCGTCATGCTGTGGAGGTCGTTATTGCCGATGGTTAGCCTCTACTAGCCGAGAAGCAGGGATGCAACGATACCCCTTTTTTCCAAACTGATACGATACCGATACTTGGATCTGAGTACTCGCCAATACCGATTACCGAAACCGATACTTCTACCACACACAAAAAACCGCAATGATTTGGAATACAGGTTTTATTTTCTTCTCTGCTTTCATCAGGAAAAGACTGTGAGGTAGATAAAAAGTAAAATAAAATACATGAATAGAAATCATCACAAAACTAAAATATCAATCAGCCAAAAAGAGCACCCGTCACCCCTCTGTTCATTGAGCTCCACTGGCTACCGCTAGCAGCACGCATCAAATTCAAATTGCTAACACTAGCATACAAAGTCCGAGACGGTACGGCTCCCATCTACCTGAATCCTCTTGCAAAGGCTTACGTCTCGGCCCGGCCGCTCCGGTCATCACAGGATCGTCGGCTAGCAGTGCCTACACCACGCTCAGGACAATCCAGACTCTTCTCATGCATCGTTCCACAAATGTGGAATGACCTACCAACCACTACCAGAACAGGGGCTTCCTTTTCAATTTTCAAGAAACTCCTGAAGACCCTGCTCTTCAGAGAGCATCTTCTAAACTAGCACCCTCCCTGCACCCGTCCCTCCTCTCTACTGTCCACTCCTTTGTTCCCTTCTCTCCATGATTGATGTCAAGTTGTTGTTATTGTTGTTGTTAGCCTCAAGGGCAACATGCCGATTATCACTTGTAAGTCGCTTTGGACAAAAGCGTCTGCTAAATACATAAACATAAACAAATT